GAAAAAAAAAAAAAAAAAAAAAAAAAAAAAAAAAAAAAAAAAAAAAAAAAAAAAAAAAAAGAAAAAAAAAGAAAAGAAAAAAATGTGAATTTTTGATACTTTCTTTACATTTCTTTGATTATTATTATTTTTTTAACAAGGTCTCACTATGCAGTTCAGGCTGGCCTTGAACTCACCATGCAGCCCAGGATGGCCTTGAATTTGCAGCAACCCTCTTGTCTCAGTCTCCTGAGTGCTGAGATTACAGACATGTACCACCATCCCTGGGTCTTGATAATTATTTCTACTAAGTAGCATATTAACAATGGCAAAATCATCATCTACTGAGGAATCACTATAAGCTAAATGCTTCAATGTCATTGTCACTTGTAATCCTTATAAAATCCTTTAAGCTGATTATTATTATTTTTTGGATAAAATATAAATCAGAGACATTAAGCTCCTACACAGAAATAGTAAGTGGGGTAACTAGAAGTGGGAGCTGTCTGTGTCTACAATAAGTGTTCTCACGACCAGAATAGACTGTTACAACACACACTGTGTGCAAGCTAAAGAGTTCATGTGTGTGACGACTGAAAGATCCGTATAGCCTTGTAAGGTAGGCAGAATTATTAACTCCACATCTTTAGGTCTTTAGTCAATAAATACTTATTAAGTACTACCTACGTTTTTTATTATTATTGGTTTTGTTTTGCTTTTTGAGACTGCGTTATGTAGTTCAGGCTGGCCTTGAACTCATTATGTAGCCCAGAGTGGCCTCAAACTTACAGCAATTCTGCCTCAGCCTCCCAAGTGCTGGGATTACATGCACGCATCACTATGCCAGGCTCTATATCCAAAAACTTTTAGATGCTAGGGGCACACAGCCATGGAAGATAAATACAAACCACAATTTTACCTTAATGAAATTTAAAAATCAAGACAAGATTTATTAAGCACCCAACAAATATTTGTTGAAAGACATTGTTGAATGTATAATCACAATAAATGCAAAGGTACAATTAGGAAAAGTACTTGTAGAGCACACAACAAAGGATATAATATAACCTAGACTCGGGTGAACCTTGAAGAAGCTTAAGAATTGAAGGTAATCAGTCAAAACAGACGATGATGGGAGCCATTCCAGGTAGAGAATATGAATGAAGGCACTACTGGAGGAGATAAGACTGATGAGTTCTAGAAAGTTAAAACAGAGGAACTAGTTTCAAAGAGGCCATTAAACAACTCATGCAGCCACTAAATAGCAGAGCTATGACCAAAAGCCAGATCTGTGATTAAAAGAAAAAAAGAAATCTAAACTTTTCTTACTAGTTAAGAGTCATCATTACAAGCCTGATACAAAGATGTGGTCTCCTTCAGTTATTAGATTGTTCTTACAATCCTTTCCATCTCTTTATTATTTCTAAACACTTATGACTGTTTGAACTGTATTTTTAGTAAAAGTGAACCAGGGTCAAATGACTGACTGAAGCTTTTATGAATTTCTTTTAGGGGATTTTGTTTTGTTTGAGACAGGGTCTTACTATGTCACTTATGTTGGCCTTGAACTCACTATATGACCCAGGCTGGTCCAAAATCACAACAATCCTCCTGCCTCAGCCTCACAAGTGCTAGAGATTACAGGTGTGTACTATCATGCTCCAAAATTTTCCAGATTTTGTTAGATGGCCTGTGATAATATTGTCTTCTACAGGTGCTCATTTCTGGTTCTATATTTTCTTCTAACAAACAGAGTATTAGTATGTAATTTAATAGTATGCTTCTAAATTAAAGCTTTCTGTAAAAATACATACATAAGTATCCCAGTGATAAGTAAAAATGCAAAAGCTAACTGAGGAAGTGAGTCAGTTTGGAAACAACAAATCCAAATGAAAACAATGCTTTCAAAATGTACTACACAGATATGAGAACCTAGGGCTGGGGATGTAGCTCAGCCTGCGCCAGGTCCTGAGTTCAATTCCTGATTACCAGGGGAAAAAAATGAGGACCTAACATGGCAACCTGAGTCCAAGGTATAAAAAATGCTAATTTTATTCACTGAATATTAACTGTGGTCCTTTGTGCCTGGCCCTATATTAAACATTAGAAGTTGAAAACTAGAAAACAGTGAGAGCCGCCACTCTGCCAAAGTCATTATTAGCCAACATAGCCACCAGGGCCACTGTAGTTTTAAATTAAGTCTAATTCCTCCATTATCATACGTTCTCTTCAGATTTCAATATATTTTGTATGTACTATAAAGTAATTTAAGTTATATATTTTGTAAGAGTTTTTTAATCAGACTATATAAAGAACCCTCACAACACAACAGAGAATCAGATTTAAAAATGGGCAGTAATAAATATGAACAGACATTTCTCCAATAATACACAAATGGTCAATAGGCAAATGAAATATTCAACATCAATAGTTATTTGAGAAATGCAAATCAAAATCATAATGAGATTACACTTTACACCCACTTGGATAACTAAGATCAAAACACAGACAAGAAATAGGACGGTAACAGTGAGGATATGAAGAAACTGGAATATTCCACTAGTGGGATGCAAAGTGGGGCAGGTGCTACAGGCACAGTTTGGTAGTCCCTAAAAACAGCTACCACATAACCGTGGAATTTCAATCTTTAGTGTATATCCAAAAGAAATAAAAACATGGTGGCTGTGCATAGTGGGGAGACAGGAGG